TAAGTTTAATTAATCTGAATTAAAACAATTATTATTTATTTTTAGTTTAAAATACCACAGAAAAGGATATTTTTAACATGGAGGTGGGTGTTTTTATGAAGTGTCGACACCTATTGATAACCTGATGTTTGCAAGATTTATGTAAGAGGGGAAATACTTGTAAAAACTGCATGATGAATACAACACAAACACCTTTGTAACTATCTAGTAATCTTAAAAATGTAAAATATTTTAAATATTCTAATATTTTATTGAATTTTAGGTACTTTAACTTTATAGTTTTATTTATGAATACATGTGTTAGAAGATTACAAATAAATTGTAAATTTGCTATAGTTATTACTCTTAATTTCTGATAATGTCATGTATGGATGTCTGTATTACAAAATTTGGCATGTTTATATGCACAAAAAAAAAATTAAAAATTCTTTTTAAAATGCTGGGTGTCGATAAATTGTAGTAAGTTTTTCCATTCATGATAAGTAAATATTGATTTTATTTAATAACAATATAACTTGACTACAAATTCATTCAGATTTAAAAGGATTTAAAACTTTATAAATTATTATGATTAAAATTTAAAAAAGATGAGAATTCTTATAAAATTCACTATTTATTGAAAATGTTTTTTTCTTAAGACAATAATGTCTATAATATATTTTATTCATAAAAGCGATTAAAAGCATTTCTGTCTTAGTTTGCATTTTTTATTTTATGATTCAGAGCAGATTTTCTGTAACTTGTGACTTCTGTTTGACCAAAAAAAAATAAAAGATTTAAAATCTAGAACTTTTCCTTATAACTATATAAACATGCTACAAAAAACATTCTCGAAAATTCATAACAGTAAATAAGTGAAATTTAATGAAAAAAAATATTTTACCAAGACTTTTTAAAAAAGAAATGTTTAGAAACTAATTTAATTCATTTGTGAATAAGTATAAGTAAACTACTTAATTTTTGCAAGAATTTCCAAACACTGATGATTTCCAAACATAATGATCTATGGCTCCCTGTTGATGCCAGGGAAACAAGATTTTAAACTAAAATTTCAAAGGATTAAGAAAAATTTCTATATCAAAAAATCAAAAAATTTCCTATTAACAATAACACAAAGATTTTGATGATAAAACTTTGTTTTTATTAAGTTTTGGGCATTTTTTAATATTTTTTTTATGCTCTTTTTTAGTGTATCTTAGAGGTACCTACTCAAGTAATATATATTTTTGATGACTATGATTATTATGATATTTAAAGAAACAAAATGTTCGCTTTGAAAAATTTAAAACGCAAATTATTTTATTTTCAAAATAAAAAATATCTTCTAGCTTACATACAAATGAAGTATTGGAGCAATCAGAAAAAGAGTTTTATATGGAAGACAAATACAAAATATTTTAATGGCTTGCATGCAGACATGAGAAATAATTGTGTAATGCTGATCCTCTTGCATGGTGTCAGTTGTAACGTGATGTCTGGTCAAGGTGTTCATGTGACACCGTATCCTAACCCCACTGGGCTGACATCATCCACAAGACTGGCCGTTGGTCCTGTATGGTCCAGTATTACAGGTTAGATCTAAGTCTCTGGCTTCAAATGTTGATTTGATTCCACTCACCACCCACATTGTGATTTTTGATCCTGGCAAGTAGTTATTGGGTTGTAGAATTCCAAAAGCTCTCTATTAGTCTACCTGCAAGCTTGTCGGGTGAGAATCGGGTTAACAGCAAATAAATATGGGCAAGTTGATCCAATTTTATAAGGACAAAAATTTGATATATATATATAACATCAACAATAAATATAATAATACAATTCTCGTGGCAAAAAGTTGAATGTCTCTTGTATATGAACGAGGATCAACAAAACAAAAAAAAATACTTTGTGTAATTTCATTAAAGGTGAGAGGTGGCTTTGTTTTAAGCCTTTTTAATCAAAAAGGCTTAAAGGCTGTAGCTTGTCCGACATTTCCGTTCTCAGTGGTAGTAATAATAGTAACAGCAGTAGTCTCAGCTGTTGGAGGAAGTAATTCACTTCTTCATACTTATATCAACAGTACATGTTAGTGGACACTCCGTTCCAATCTCTGACATCATTTTCTCTCTTCTTCGAGCATCCAACTCAACCCTGCTCACTGTCTCTAACCCAACTCTGCAATTGTCTCTAACCCAACTCGCTCTGGTCTATATAGAGACTGGTGATGTATTTGTTTTATAGTGCAAACATACTGATATTAGGAACAGGATGACCCATTTCCTGACACTTCTAAATTAAAAAAAACTTCACATCTTTCAGTACCCTGACCGCTGTCACTGTTCTAAGTTTGTCTATTAATAGCTCTGAGCAATTTTGGTAAACTTTACATAGATTCATGCTGACCTGTTTTATCAATAGAATTAACCTTTAGATCAATTCATTCTGAATTCTATTTTCTATTAATAGTGTGATATCTTTTGTATGCTTAAAGAGAAAAAAAGATTGTATTTTGTTTTCTAAATACAATCTATAACATTTACATTTCAAAGTCTTTACAGCATTTTAACATCTTGGTTCTTTTGAAAATGCCTTTTTTCCCTATTTTCCAGCACATTCTCCTTTATTATCATTATTATTATTTTGGTGTGATATTGCAACCTCATCCTCCCTGCCACAAATGCACTATCTGCTATATTAGTTTAATCTAAAAATATAAATCCATATTTAAACTCCGAGATCATATTTTGAATTTGTGTAGTCATCTTATATTTTGAAATTGTGTTATCTTCATCTTATGCAAAGTAAAACCTTTTATAATTATTATTAGGAAAATTTAATATTTGTTCCTTAAACTGCATATTGCAATTACTTAAATTTCATGTATGATATATGTCCCTACATACAATATTAACTTGTAATATATTGGTTAATTCTACAAATTCTATTGAAAGTAATGTAGGAGATATGCATTTACTTTTACTTTCGATCAATGTCCATATTAGCTATGATGTAGCTGGTGCAAGAATTATGACAACCAAAACATAGAAATAATTAAGAGTCTACACACAGTTAATAATAATATCAACAATATCAATATTATTTTAAGAATAGTTGCAGTGAATATTTTCCCAATATCATAATGGACATCAAATGTTTAACAACAAAATCCTATAGTGGTACACCTTTCTTTTAAAAAAGGGTTCACACTTGAAAATAGCCTTAACTTTGCATTTTTCAATTTTTCAAACATATCTTCATTTAATAAAAAGTACAAACAGCAATGGGATAGATTTCAAAATTGCACTTACCAATTACAACTAAATTTGTTTAAAAATAAATATTCGGTGTAGACTGTTTTTTTCCTGTCCATTCTGGAAGAAAATGTGTTTATTAAATTATGTAAGCACCAGCTCACAAAAAAAAATTATATTTTGAGTTTTATGCAATTATTTTGGGGAAGGTTTAGGATGAATTTTCAGTATGTTCCCACTTGATATTGTATAATTTCTTTGACATCTTCAGAAATCTTTCTTTATATAACTGTGAAAGATTTTGTGAACATCGCCCAGATTAAAAAGTATGCACAAGATATAAAAAAAGGGGAAGGTGAAACTGACTCCACAACATAATATTTCCACAAAGATTTCTAATAAAATAAACTATTCAGTTTCATTTACTGATGAATAAATGCTGACACCCACAAAATTCTCAAACTAAAAATTAACTATTACTATTTTCTCCCAGAATTTCTGAGATAAGAAATTATTATTATACAATAATTTATTTGGATTGATTTTACAATCTTGGTTGTTCATAACATTTTAGCTATTTTGCCTCCATGCTTCTGTGTCTGTCATGTAAACTTCTAGAATATTTGAACTGGACTTTTTATTCAGTCCATGAAATTCCTACTTGTTATTAGAATAAATCTCTTTTCATAATTTAGACTTTTTAATTAGTATCTTCTTAGAATAATCTCTTCTTGTCAGGAGAATTATTATAAAATCTATCATTTACAATCTCTGTCCTTGATTTAAATATTATTTGACTAAACATTCATTTTAATAAGTTTTAAAAAGTCATTTTAATGTATTATTACATTTGCACACATTAACATTGAACAATGGAGTATATTTAAATAGATATGTAGCAGCCCACAGAGGGGTTGCCATGAAAATAAAATATAGATATTATACAGGAAGAAATTGACACCAAGTCACCACTTTGTAGAAAAAATGGCATCCAAACTGAAACAAAAACAAAGGCAAAGGTCATAATAAAAGAGCCCAAAATTTATTATTGGCAACAATCAACAAATCTTTACAATATGTACAATTGCCGATTTGTAAAAATTGAAAGAGATTTCTTGCAAGTTGTGAAATATCAAAACGAATATTAGAGTTCCAAAGTGTGAGTTTGTGGGATTAAAAATATGATTAATTTAATAGTCCTGAAAAGGATCAGAGTAAGCACAAGCAAGTGGTAAGTCTTTGGAAATGTTTGTGTTTGATATGGTCCTTGATGAAAGGAAAAGTTCATAGTTGAAACTCGTCGACATTGAAATTAATAATGCGCTGGTAAATGACAAGTCGCACTTCATAGAAAAAAAAAATCACAATGAAATCAATTAAATAAAGCAAGCTGGAACTGGTAAGTAAAAGTCCAAGATGGTAGCATGCTGAATGAAGATGCTGAACAAGGTATTGCCATTAAGTAAATCCAGAAATTGACAAGAAACCAAATCAAAGTGCCTTGTTAAATAGAATCCAATATGGCAATGTGCCAATAAGATAGGGCGCCAAATGTGGCATGATTGCTAAGTTATCAAAATGATAGCATTAGCCATCATAATGGTGTTTCTGCAAATAAATGTTGTAAGATTAACATGCAAAAACAACATAAATTAACAAAGCAACGAGAACAAATTTAAACTAAGCAACAGGCTAGGTTGCTCAACAGAAAGAGGGGATGACTCATTGCCAATCCAGAGCAAGAGAAAAGAAAGGAGGGGAAAGCAGTATTACTGCATCTTCCCAAAAGAGAAGGAAGGTTGAGAGGAGAAGGAAAGGCTGTGTCTGCATCTTTCCAAGAAGAAAGTGGTGAAAAAGGAAAGAAAACAAAACAAACAAAACAGGAAGGAGTGACTGCTTCACTGTAAATGTGGAAGTCACTTCTTCTTTCAGCCAACACATTCTGTCAATACTGTCACAATGACAAAATCATACATGACCCTGGGGGGAGAGAGCCTGAAATATTTACTTTTGTCTCCACAATGAGTCAGGATGCAACACAAGGTCAGTTTCTTTTAGTGTGAGGGACCTGAGGTTTCCACTTGTGCCACTAGTCAATTTTTGGTCTTACCTAGTCATAGCTTGTCTTAGCCAGTCAAAAACCTGATATGGAACAGATACTACAACAGCATCTCCTCCAAGGCAGAGGGTAGGGATCCTGAGTATTTACCTTTGACCCTCCCACACAGAGTCAAGATGTGACACAAGGTTAGTTTATTTTAACATGGGGAACCTGAGTGTCCCCATTCGGCTTTTGGTCTTAGCCAGTCATAGCCTGTCTTAGCTAGTCATATCTAGTCAAAAACCCACACTATGGAACAGATCTGAGGATTCTGTCCAGGCAGCATTGGGGGTGTGGAAGGGAACCCAGCCCAGAACAGATACTGCAAGATACTGCTAAGGTGAGCTGTCCAAGCAGCAGGGAGGAGTCAGCCTGGCACAGAACAGATACTACAATAGCATCTCATCCAAGGCAGGGGGAGGGAGCCCAAGTATTTACCTTTGACCCCCCCCCCCCAGAGAGGTTGTGACACAAGATGAGTTTGTCCCTACCCAGGCTTCTAGTCTTAGCTAATCATAGCCAGTCAAAAACCTACACTATGGAAAAGATCTGAGGATTCTGTCCAGGCAGTGGGAGGTGGGGGAGAGGACCAACCCAGAACAGATACTGCAACAGTATCTCTGCCAAGGCGAGCTGTCCAAGCACTGGGGAGGAGTCAGCCTAGCACAAAATAGATACTACAACAGCATCTCCTCCAAGATGGGTGGGGAAGAAGTTAAAGTTTTCAAAACTGCTAGATGTGACAGACCACTATTGACTTCTAATATCTCTCTTTGATATCAAATTATTTCATATATGATTCATTAAATGTTTAAAAATTAATTAGGTTGATAAGAAAAGGAAAATAATATTCAACAAAATAGATAAATAAATAAAATATTGTATGTCAAATTTTATGGTTGAACAAAATTCCATAATTTTTTATATTTTAGAGGCTGTATATCTCAGTATTTTATTACTTGAAAAAAAAAACTTCTGCAAATCATTGTTTATTACAAGTGATTGTAGAATATGACTAAGTTTTATGCATCCCACAAATGTCTTTTAAGGTTATTTTTATTGATTGATAAATTGAAATACACACAGAAATTACAAAAAAATATACAATTTAATATAAATGGAAACAGTCAGCAGTTTAAAGGAGATAACTACTATTTGCTTGAGTAAATTTTTCTGCAAACTTATCTGAAATGTTCAGTGATACTTTTTATCTTTATTCCTTGATAATTTTTTATTTTAAAGTGGGTAAGGTGACTTTAATACTCTTCAACATACACCAGTAATCTCTGAACTATGCACAAGTTTTTGCTTTTTTATAGTGTTGAATGACCCAATTTTAAATTATTTCAATCTGCAGAATTCCAATTAAATCCGCTCAATATAACAAAATAAATGTAAAAATCTTTTTAGAAAATCAGTGTTTTTGTATTCAATTACAATTACAATGTAATAACTATTTGTTTTGTTTTAGTTAAAAGAAATGTAAATTTTGATTTGTTGTTTAGAAAAATACAGTAAAAAAATCTCTAGTTCATACAGAAGGAAAAAAAGATTATAATTTTCAAAATTAAAATAGAAAAAACAGTCAATTTTAAAAGCTGTCTTTCAATCTCTGATAACTATGACAAAATGAGATCATCTATGTCAGATAAACATTTCAAGTAAGAAATGATTTATAGAGGAAATATTTATTTTTTGACTTAAAAGGTGTGCTTTGTGCTTTAAAATGACAATTGTATATAAAAAAGAAGTGACAATTTCTTTGAGGTGTTGATAAATATAATGCTAAAAATTGGGGATGGATTAGCAAAAGAAAAAAAAAGAATTAACTTTAGAATTCACACTGATTTGAAGTCAAATTCCTTACATTGTTTCATTGTGTGATATTTTCATATCATAGATCTTCCTTAATTTGGTTTCTGTCTCTTATTTTAATGAATGTTCTTTTAAATTTGTTAAAGTCAAAATGTATAAAATTTGCACACTAAAGTTAGTTCACATCATTTTCACTGAGTGGGGGGGGGATGACTTTTGTCTGGGAGAGCTGTAGTGAATGTGAAATAATAACTACTTTCACCCACTCTCTTCAAATTTGGCAGACCTAGGAAAAAGAAGGAAAAGAATTCATGAGTCTATGTGAAATTTTCTTTGGACCAATGAAAACCTTGTTTTCACAGAAATTAGTCAGTCAGTCAAGAAGAAAAAGTAGTGAGCCCATGCAAAATTCTTTTTGATATAAAATGATGAGAAAAATTCTGAGAAGAGTGTTTGAAGTCATGTCAAAGGTTTTGTTTCAGTTTTTCGCAACCAGTGTTGAAGTTCTTGCAAGAGTAAAATTACTTGCAGATTATATTATCGGTTTCTAACCAGCACATTACATTCAAAGAATTTTCTCTCAACAATCCAAGAAAGTTAAGTATTTCCAAATATCTCTCTTCATCTACTTTTGCATGTATGCAAACCACATATCTCTTTGATGAGCCATGAACTCTCTTACATTTGTCTTAAACATTTTTTAATATTATTTTGTGTCAGTTCATTGAATCTGTTTTATGAACAGAATTCTGATTTATTTTCCTGAAATGAACACTACTTCAAACGTGTAAATTCATGAATAAATTTCTTATCTTTTTTGTTAAAATTACCCGTATATTTCCTTGTCATTATCATACGTTCATTAATCTTCTTGGTGTAAGTAAATCAACTTGTAGACTCGTCCTTTTTTCCTTACCTTTCAACCCTAGCAACAGAACAGTCTATATCTTACGCCTACGTACGGAAAACTTCAACCAATTAAAACTGCACTAAGCGAAACAACCAATCTCATTGGTTCATCACTGAAAGTTCACGTGCAGAACGAAATTGCGCCAAAACTCAAGTGAGCCACCTTCGGACTTTCAGGCCTTATAAAAATAAACGCTGACCGCCCCCAGGCAGTCAATAACGAACACCCACAGAGAACTTGCCAAAATACTTCACATCACTCGAAATCACGATTTTGCCGCATCATCGCTGACTCATTCCCGACCGAAAACTTAATCAACTCTGTGGATATCAATTCTCAACATTGCTTATCTAAAGTGAATTATATTCGCTACCTTAAGTAAACATCAAGGTGCGAACGACCTTAAAAAAACATTACATTACAGTTAAAGGTAGATCACTCTTAAAAACTCCTTCTAAAAAAGACACTTAATATCAACACAAACTTAAAAAGACTGTAAATGAACGAACAATTACAAAGAGACATTCTGAAATCAAAAAACCTCATACACATTTCGCCAACATCAATTATCCTGTTTGTATATTGTTTTGAATTGTAAATGTTATATTAATTTCTAATTGAATATGTCTCGTTCTTAATCGTATTTTAAATTTCGTTTATTTATTTGTTGTGGATGCAGAAAGTCACGCAACCTACACAAATCCCTTCTGATTCTTTCAAGCATAATTAATAAATTCTGCACGTCCCCAACAAACTGTTCATAGGCCTCGTACCACTATAGAGCTACCCCTTGCCCCTTAGTGACGGGCCTAGTGTATCCGGGATCCTCAATGACAAAATTATCTGTTAACTAATATAACAATCAACGCGTACAAAATTAGTTTTTTTATTCATAGTTTTTAGATTCATTTTCATATGTATCACCTTTTTTAGTTGATATCTATATTTCAGTAGACGCTCCGTCTATTTTTTAAACAATATTTTAGTTTCGTCTACCAGACTGAATATTTAAGAAATCTTTTTAAGAAAAATGAGCCCTCAGGCAGGATTCGAACCTGCGTCCCCTGTCGTTAGATTCGACGATCTTGTGTAACGGGCGACGCAGGAGTATGGCTATCCATTTAAAAATAACGTTTACTTTAGTGATAAAATTTAAAAAATATGTCGGATTAATAAATAGAAATCCCTTACTTGTTTTAGAAATGTAAACATCCTAATTGTTAAAAAAAATATATGGACAATAAAAGTAAGTCTGTAAGTGCTAAAAAAAACCTGAACCAAATGTTGAAATATTTTTTATTTTTACTACACAGCAAATATTTTATTAACCATTTCCTTGTCTCAACACGTAAGTCTGAGGTGAATACATAGATTGATATAGATTGATTCTAGTGAAAAATTTAAATCGAAATCCAGATATGGTCAACTCAAAATACGATATAGGTATGATAACTTTTTTCCGCAATGAAAAAAATAAAAATAAAAATCGAACCACCACCTGTTTTATTTGCCAAAAATCAGGAAATTATCCGATTCAAACGAAAATTTCAGAACTTATTTCATTAACAAATGAATAGGTTATTTTATTAAAATATTTTTGCGAAATCTTTTTTTCAAATATACGTTTCACTTAGTTTCATACCGTCTTTTCGATATCTCGTGTATATATACTTTTTCTTTTTAATTTGTTCATTTTTTTTTTTTTTTTTTTTTTTTACAGTTAACTTATAAAATAAAAAGAAATCCCTGAGGATATTATTTCAGTAAAGAAAAATTATCGAATACGGAAAATTCGGTCCGCATCTTGCCAAAAGCAATTTAAGATTAAAAATAATTTTTTTTTTTTTTTTTTTTTTTATAGAATTAGTGCTTGCATAAATTAATAAAAAACATATTCTTTCAGTTACAACAGAAAAAAATCTCACTAAACTTTCTAAACTTAATTTATTTAAAAAAAAATACGTCTGTAATTAATTTGAAAGTGCAGTTCTGGAATTGAATTCTGTAGTTGTTCATCACAATAATTTATTTTATTAAATTAAATAAAGACATGTTTGAAGATTTAAAAATGGAATTTTTTTAAAAGGATTTTTTTAACTTTTAGCAACTGTTAGA